CAGCTATGGGAAGGAAAAGGAAGCAAAAAGTCCAATATCAGATGTGTGCAAGGTTCTGGGAGTGTCAAGGAAAACACTGTCTAAGGTAAATGCCAAAATGTTAACTTCACCGAAAAAGAGAGGTCCGACACGGAAGTTTCGAAGAGTGGATGACTTTCAATGATGTTCTGCACACCGGCTATGAGGGTGGGTGGATAAATGGAGCACTCCTGATCGCTGCCAAAAACATAAAAGCTGCATCAGCTGACTACCACTAAGATATGAATTCGGTTTCATTTGAGTCGTGGTTTGAAAAACAGCTCCTCCCAGCGTTGACATCGGAATTCCCAGGACAGACATGTGCCATAATAATGGACAACACCCCCTACCACAGCAAACTGTTGCATCTAACACCTTCAAAACGTATGAAGAAGGCAGACATTATTGAGGCTCTGCAGCGTCATCAAATACCAATCCTTAGTGAGATAAGCGTACCAGCAATCCTACTACAGAGGACCTCCTTCAGTTGTTCAAGGTAGCGTGGCTTCCGGCCTGGTACGCTTATCCCACTAGGGATCTTCTTTTTACTTTCTCCCACTATAGTCTGGGAAGCCGAGTGGTTATAGTGTTTGACTTCAAATCTGAAGGTCACTGGTTCGAATCCAAGCGAGATTGTTTCCAGAACCAGATGCCATTTGTCATTGGGCTGTAATTAATTATGCTATCTCTAACAAAAAGGTTGACGTTAGACAGTAACAAGACCAGGGTTTGGATCGTTCCCTTTCAAAACATAAAAAACCACCGCCACAGCAAACCTGCAAACTAAGCGAATTTCAACTTGTCTTATTAGATTCTTACTAAAATATTTCCATAAATAAGACATATTTATTCCCAATTTAAACAACATTAGATTTCACGAGTGCTTAGGTTTGCTGCTACGGGGAAGGTAAAAAGTGTTTTTGACCAAACCTCAATAGTATAGGATGAAATAAATAAATTTGCCAAATTTGATCAACATATAAATCCATAAACAAATAAACTACAACAGTTTTCATTTTCTCCATAAGAATAACATGGGAATTTTAAATTACACACATTTTTCATATTTTATCCGTAACCGTTAGGCATACAACCGCGCTTCACTATACTAAATTATTTCTTTTTTAAGCTCTATAAAATGGTTTAGAAAGAAATAGCAACATTTTTTGTTTTTAAGGTAAAAAATGGAAAAAAACCCATTTTTACCCCATAAGCCCCCGTTCCAGTGGTCGGATCATGCTGGTTCTCCTTTGAATAAATGCAGGTTTACTTGTTTATACCGAATTTCATCAAAATTGGATCATTTTTGCTCGAGTTATCATTCTAACGGACAAACATATATATGAATAATAATTAAACAATTCATAAACAAACAGTAGCCTATATATATATATGAATTTGAACCGATGGTGTTTTTGGCCTCTGGGGCCTCATACAAAAAAAAATAAATCAGTCCCGGATCCAGGTCTTACCATGATACCTATGGTAATAGATTATTCCCTTTATGGAAAATTCGCTAAAATAGCACTGGCGTAAAAACAAACAAAAATAAAATAAAAATATACATAGTATTAGTACTGAGGAGGGAACATTCATTGTTATCGATGATTTCTTTTTGATATACAGTATCGATATTTAATTTTTAGCGAATTTTCCCTATAGGGAATAAGCTATTACCGTAGTACTCATGGTAAGACCTGGACCCGGGACTGATTTACTTTTTCGTTTTGAGGTCCCTAGAGACCAAAAACACCATCCGTTCAAATTCATATATATATATATATATATATTTATTTATATATGTGTCCGTTAGCGCGATAACTCGAGCAAAAATCATCCGATTTTGATGAAATTTTGTACAAACGTGTAAACCTACGTTTATTCGAACGAGTTCACGAACCAGCACGATCAGACTATGGGAACAGGGGGATATGGGGTAAAAGTTGGTTTTTCCCACTTTTTATCCTAAAAACTTAAAATTTAGCAATTTCTTTCAAAACCATTTTGTAGAGCTTAAAAAAACAAATAATTTAGTATATTAAAGCGTTAATATGGGCCTAATGGTTACGGAAAAAATTCAAAATCTGTAAATTTTAAATTCTCATGTTATTCTTATGGAGAATAAGTAAACTGTTGTAGTTTGCTTGTTTATGAACATATTTTGATCAAATTTGGAAAATGCATTAATTTCATACTAAAATATTACATTTTACAAAAAAACACCATTTTACCCTCCCTGTTGCAGCAAACCTAAGTACTCGTTAAACTAATGTTATTTAAATAGGGAATAAAAGTGATATTTTTAAGGAAACATTTTAGTGTAAATCCAATCAGCAAATGGAAATTCGCTTAGTCTGCAGGTTTGCTGCGGCGGGGGTATTTATTCAATATATTGATACTAACAAATTGAAACTTATCAGCTGACAACTACGGTAAATAAATATTGTTCAGTATCAACAAACAATAGAAATATATTATATTGAAATTAAAATATTCTAAACTAACTTAACTAACCAAACTTGCTCTAACATTTCAAAATTCCATTTGATAGCCTATTCCCCATATGCCCCTTCTGTTATCAAACGGAACTTTAAAATGGTAACTTAACCTACAGCAAGTTTGGTTAATTATGTTAGGTTAGTTTAGAATAGTTTCATTTCTTAATCCAATATATAGGCTATTATTTTTGCCTAAAGAAGATTAGTTTTTAATGCTATTCTTTAATACGAGCTATAACTCAATAACTCGGTTATTGTGCCAAGTATAACTTGGACATATATTTGCTATGTCTATCTGTCTGTCTGTAATTTAAATGCGTTTGAAGATATTAAAACAGATGGAATATGGATGATAAAAGAAAACAAAAATATTGATATATCTAAAAGAAATCATTGATAATAATGAATGTTCCACTTAACAGGAAAGTACCTTTTTAATGGTGATTTTCTCATAAAAACACAAAAAATAAAGGGAAAATCAGATTTTCTTGAAAATGGCCTGATCAATTTTGATAAAGATTAAGAATGTTGTAGCCCTTTAAATTCTGAACAAAATGATAGAACTCCCATTCCTTTCAAAATTTTGATTTTAAAAAGTTATCGTTAACTATGCTATTTTCCTATAAAAAAAACTCATAAAATAAGAGGAAGTTGTATTTCCGAAAAAAAGGCGGTTTTGATTGAAATTAGTATGTGATGGTCAATTGGTTTACCTTATGGTTGCCAGATTCTTGAACAATTGTGGATTTCTTGCTCTATGATCATTTCGCCACAGGTGTGGCATCTTCAGGAGCACAGTTTATATTACATAATACAAGCACTATTTACACATATTTACATTTTCGCACGGATGACTGTTCACGGTACGGACGTAGGTACTCGAGCGTGTGCACGGACCGGAGGCACTACATGTGTCACTATTAGACACATTTGAGTTGTCAGTCAAAGTCTAATAGAGACACATGTAGTGCCTCCGGTCCGCGCACGCGCTCGAGTACCTACATCCGTACCGTGAACAGTCATCCGTGCGAAAATGTAAGTATGTGTAAATAGTGCTTGTATTATGTAATATAAACTGTGCTCCTGAAGATGCCACACCTGTGGCGAAATGATCATAGAGCAAGAAATCCACAATTGTTCAAGAATCTGGCAACCATAAGGTAAACAAATTGATTAATTATTTGTTCTTGAAGATGGAATAATACACAAATTATATGTGATGGTCCTTATAATTCTTAACAACATAGTGCAACCCCCCATTTCTGTAAAAATTACAGTTCAAAAGTTAATGTAACTTAACTTATGTTATTTTCCCATAAAAACCCATGAAAAAACAGAAAAATGGATTTAAAAAACTGATTCTGATTGAAATTTGATTTTAATGGTCCTTATAAATTAATTCTAAACAAAATAGTGCAACTCCCTCTTTCTGTAAAAATACTCGTAACGGTTCAAAAGTTAAATGCAACTTTTGTGATTTTAGGCCTACCTGTTAAATATCATAGTAGCCTAGTTAGTTACTCTCATTGCTTGCCCATGATAAAGGTTGTTAACAAGCTAATGGGAGAAAGTATGTGTCAGATTGCTGATACTGTGTATTTGTATAGGTAGTTGATTGTATTAAAATATAAAGAGTGAAAGTAATAGTTATTTGTGCAACTAGTGAACAAAGTGAGCAATTGCCCAACTCGAGAGAAATCCTTACTCACGAGCCGTAGGCGAATGAGTAATGGTTTCTCGAGTGAGGCGATTGCACTTTGCACTCGAGTTGCACATTATATTTTTCCTACAGTTACCATAAAACAAATAAATTGGTGAAGAAACGTAACATATTTTTACACAGAAGTGAACTTTTAATATAACATTTAATGTGAAGTGACAAATACAACAGTACAACAGCTGATTTACAGCCAGTGCTGCCAACGTATTTTGCGCACATACGACCTTGTCTGCATGTTACGCGCTCACTATTTCGTGGCTTCACGTTGCAAATCTGGAGTGAGACAAAGTAATTAGAGTGAGACAACGTTAACCGCATTGTCTCACTGATGAGCGAATTGGCCACTTTGCTTTCTCAAATCAGTGAGAGAACATGTACATTGTTAGGTAACCGTAGGAAAAGAAACATTGTACAATGTTAACATTGTCTCACTGATGAGCGAATTGGCTACTTTGCTTTCTCAAATCAGTGAGAGAACATGTACATTGTTAGGTAACTGAAGGGAAAAGGCCTTTTTTAGAAAATTACAATTTAAATGAGGCCATTAAAAACCAAAGGTGGAAACGCTCGCCTTATCTTCTCCATGTAAAATGTAGACACAATGGTGTATATGGTTAATTACTATTCTGTGGTTGCGTATTCATTTACTTAATTATCTGCAGCAAAATTTCCTATAATTTGAGAGTACGTACCTTTATAACTTAAATTTACAATTCTTACTAATGATGGCATGAATTTTAGGTTTGAAATCATAGACTGGCAAAATTATTAAAAATATTTCAATTTAATAAACAACACAAGAATGGAATATGCCTAGGCCTACCTATAACAGTAAACTTATAAAATGTGCTATTTACAGAGACCACTTAGTCCATATGAAAGTTAAGCCATATTTTGAAAAAGCGGTAGGCCTACTAAAATAAACTAGGCTATAGGATAACTTTTAGTAATAACTTCTTAAGTCTTTGGAAAAGTAAATAACACAACAAGTACACTGAAACGTTAACAGTCAGTCTCTAAATATATTGTTTACCAAAGCAAGTCTAGGGTAAAGGGTCTTCATCATCATCTTCCATCATATCAAGTTTTCTGTGCCTAGCCATGTTTGATAAGATTGCATCGAGACTAACTGTTTTTTTCTTAGCACTTCCTCTTGGTCCAGCCTCAGATCCCACAGGCCTGATAGCTTTCGCTGATAACTTCAAATTGGACATTTCATCTTGAAAATCAAAATCAGATTTCTCCTCAGGCCTATGTTCATCGACATTGTCTTCCTCGTTTTGAGAGTCAAACTTAGGGGTTGGGGTAGGAGGACGTCTTCCAGGAGTGGTCCATTCTATATCAATGGGTACGCCTCTGTCTATTCTATCAAATAATTCTGCTATTTCATCTGGTAAAGGTTCCCAAGGCACTCCATCTTTCGGTCTGAATTCTTCATCAGAGCATTCCATGTCAAAATTATTATCTTCTGTGCCCATTAAAAACGCATCAACTTGGTTCAATGTATCCTCTTGTTGATCCGACATGTTCATGCTGTCTCTATATTTACATTTAAAGACTATGGTTGAAAATTTATAGCATTGGACTCATTCATAACCCTTATCAGTCAGTCTTGGCAACAAGAAAACAAAGATCTTCCTGTATCTTTCCTGTTTTTAAAAATCAGCTAGGCCTAGTAAATATCCTAGCCTATGTTGTACTGTAATCAACGGTAATGAATTTCAATCAGAGTTTCAGAGAAAGATACTAAAAAAATCTTCTCAAACAAGTATAATAATTGTAGGACTAATGCAGTAATGCATTAAGTAGGTAATACTTACTTAACTTCTTAGTTCTTCGGTATCGTTACTTCGTTTCGTTCTTGGTTCTTAGTTCTTATAGGTTAGGTTATGTTATTATTATGGTTACTTTTTTCTTGTTTGTAAAGCCAATGGCTAGGTTATGATGATAAAATACCCCCGCCACAGCAAACCTGCAGTCTAAGCGAATTTCCATTTGCCTGATAGGATTTACACTAAAATGTCTCCTTAAAAATATCACATTTTATTCCCTATAAGAATAAATAACATTAGTTTAACTAGTACTTAAGTTTGCTGCAACAGCAGGGACGGTAAAAAGGTGTTGTTTTGTAAAATGTTAATAGTTTAGGATGAAATGAATGCATTTTCCAAATTTGATCAAAATATGATCATAACAAGCAAACTACAACAGCTTACTTATTCTCCATAAGAATAACATGGGAATTTTAAATTTACAGTTTTAGCGAATTTCCCTATAGGGAAGTAGCTATTACCGTAGGTGGCACGGTATGACCTAGGCCCGGGACCGATTTACTTTTTCATTTTGATGTCCCCAGAGGCCAAAAACACCATTCGTTCAAATTTTTATATATGTATATATATATACACGTCCGTGAACGTGATAACTTGAGTAATTTTTGTCCGATTTTGATGAAATTTGGTTTAAAGGTGTAAGGCGAGATAAACTTGAATGAGTCCGCAAACCGGCATGATCGGACCATGGGAACGGGGTTTTAAGGGGGCTTTTATGGGGTAAAAAATGTTTTTTCTAATTTTTGACCCTCAAAACACAAAATTTCCCAATTTCTCTCTAGACCTTTTTAAAGAGCTTAAAAAACAAATAATTTAATATATCAAAGTGTTTTTGTACAGTTATTGGTCATAGAGAAAATTCAAAAAAATTTAAATTTAAAATTCCCATGTTATTCTTATGGAGAATATTGTAAAATGTTGTAAGTTAGTTTGCTTTTTTATGGATATATTTTGATCAAACTTGGCAAAGTTATTTATTTTATACTAAGCTATTAATCTTTTACAAAAAAAAACATTTTATTAATTTCCATGTAGCAGCAAACCTAGGTACTCATTAAACCTAATGTTATTTAAATAGATTTAATTGAAAATCAATTCAGACAAATGGAAATTCGCTTAGTCGGCAGGTTTGCTGCGGCGGGGGTATTTTGAAACTTTCTCCGTAACCATTAGGCGCATAATAACGCTTCAATATACCAAATTATTTGTTTTTTTAAGCTCTACAAAATGGTTTAGAAAGAAAATGCTAAATTTTAAGTTTTTGGGGTAAAAATGGGAAAACCCTATTTTTACTCCATAAAACCCTATTCCCATTGTCCGATCATACTTGTTCGCGAACTCGTTCGAATAAATGTAGGTTTACACGTTTGTACCAAATTTCATCAAAATATGATGATTTTTGCTCGAGTTATCGCGCTAACGAGCACGTATATATATATATATATATATATCCAATATGGGTGTTATGTATATGAATATGAATGGATGGTGTTTTTGGTCTCTAGGGACCTCAAAATGAAAAATCAAATCGGTCCCGGCTCTAGGTCTTACCATGAGTACTACGATAATAGCTTATTCCCTATAGAGGAAATTCGCTAAAAAAGCCATGAAACATCAAGGCACACAAGTTGTGGTTACTTTCTCTATGAGAGATAGGAGCGTGTCAAAGTGCCACCACGACAAACTGCCACAAATAAAAGATGTTAAAGGTGGTGGCTCCTTTACGGGTTGACACCACGGCCACCTTTAACTACAGGCCATGGCCTGGTAGAATTGGCAACGTCGTAAGTGGTGTTGATTAATGACAGACGTCCCAAAAGATAACATGGCAGACAGGTGACATCAGCTCATTAATTTGCACTTTATTGATTCAAATTTAAATTTATGAACCTAAATTTATTAAAATATTGAAAATAAAACATACAGAATTGAAAACCGAAACAATATGAATTAAAAATCTATGTCTGTACATTTTAAGTGGAGTCAATATTGTCATAGTCCAGTAACCAATCTTTCGTAAATACACAAATACCATTAGCTGCTTCCAAACAAAACAGCTGAATCACAAACCATAAAAAAATGCCAAAAAAATACCAAAGAAAATATTTTGAAGGCTACGGCCTGGAGTTAAAGGCGGCCGTGGTGGCACCCATACGGGAGCGTGAAAGTGGACGACAACCCACACAGCACACAACGTCCGCAGGATATCCTATTTAAGTCCCACATATCCTATCCAAATCCCGGGATTATAAGGATATCTTAGAGATATCCGCAATAACCCGGGACATTTAGGATGTCCGTGGGCCATCCTGGATTTCCCGGATATCGTGTGGACATCCGATGGATATCCTACTTTTAGCGAATTTCCCTATAGGGAAGTAGCTATTACCGTAGGTGGCACGGTAAGACCTAGACCCGGGATCGATTTACTTTTTCATTTTGATGTCCCCAGAGGCCAAAAACACCATTCGTTCAAATTTTTATATATGTATATATATATATATATATATACAGATATATATATACGTCCGTGAACGTGATAACTTGAGAAATTTTTGTCCGATTTTGATGAAATTTAGTTTAAAGGTGTAAAGCGGGATAAACTTGAATGAGTTCGCGAACCAGCATGATCGGACCATGGGAACGGGGCTTTACGGGGGGTTTTATGGGGTAAAAATTGGTTTTTCTCACTTTTGACCCTCAAAACACAAAATTTCCCAATTTCTCTTTAGACTTTTTTAAAGAGCTTAAAAAAGTAAATAATTTAGTATGTAAAAGTATTTTTGTTCGGTTATTAGTAACGGAGAAATTAAAACAATTGTAAATTTAAAATTACCATGTTATTCCTTATGGAGTATATTGCCAAATGTTGTAGTTTGCTTGTTTATGGATATATTTTGATCAAACTTGGCAAATTTATTTATTTTGTACTAAGCTATCAATATTTTACTCAAAAACACACTTGCTGGAGGTAAGTGATAACCTCATCGTTCCAGCTAAGAGCTCTACTCACGATGAAGGGTTGGATTAAGTAATGACGTCATTGTTCCTCCCAGCTCCCCACCACGACTGTTGCTCCGGTGAGCCGACTCGTTGCTCTGAGTATCTAGACGCTAGTCACTCACTTTGGGTCCGTGTGAGTTTTCTTTTCTTCACCTTCCGGTTCCGTTTGACGCGGAAATTTGTCCTTGGCTTGGCGTCGGTTGGTCTTTTGGTCAGCGTCCTTCCTGGCTGCAGGTGCACGAATCCGTAGAAGGAATTGAGAGGTAAGTGAAATTACTCTAAATTTAGTGTATCTTACTTATATTATATTTTTTTGTAAGATTGCTGTATCCTATAATTGTTACTAATCCATTTAAGTTTTTACCGCTATCTTAATATCCCGGTTAACATTAAATGATCCCTGTAGTCAAGCTACATGATAGCCTAGGCTACTTGAGACATTTTTAATGAAGTAGGCCTAGATGGATATTAATCACACTTAAGTTAAATGGTCAAATTTAAAAAGTTTATGAACCAAGGTAACCTTAGTGATCATAAAAACCCTCATTTCAATAGGCCTAGCCCTAACTTAGCTTAGGCCTAGGCCTAGCCTAGGTAGGTTAATTCAGGCCTAGGCCTACTTGCAGAGGTCTTTTTATCAGAATGTGTGTGTGTACCAAGGTTAGGCCTATACCATATCTAAGTAACTTAGGCCTAAGTTTAAAATAGCAAGCAGTAAGTTAACTTAATTTAAAATAACTGAGATAGGCCTAAGTTAAAAAATTAACCGTTAGGAATTGTAACTTGTAAGGGTTGATTTTTTACACCTCACCTTTTTTTCATCGTGTCACGAATGAGATCGCAAGACAAAATTGGTTTTATTTAATCGAGGATCAGCCAGGTAGTACGAACGACCTAGGATTTTGAGGTTAAGCATGGTGAGGCGAGGCTCAAGTAGTTATCGCGAGCACCGATGTAGCCACTGCCGATGCCGAGTCAGACTGCCAAAACTGGTTTCTGCGTATTACCGGCCCAGACGTGCAACAAAACCACTAGGACCGGGCGCCGCCGGACAGTCTGTGCCATTTCGTGACCCGATCAACACGTCTGTCTCCAAGGTTTAGTTCTTACTTGACATCATTTTATGATTCAGGGAAACTAAGTAGTTGTTTTACGTTTGGATATTCACGATCGATGTTGAATAATTGATTTGCGATAATTTGTTCACGATAAACGAGGTTTCGATTTTGATCAGTGATCAATTGGTATTTTTTGCAATTTAATTTAGATTTTAAATTGTGAAATAGCCTAATTAGTCTTGAAGTTAAAGAAATTTTGCCGACTAGCTATATAAAGTCCAAACGAGTTAGCATACACTAGGCTATTGAGGAAAGCAAAAGTTTAGTAAGGCCAATTGAGTGTTTTAAAGGATTTTTACCTACACAGCTTATATTACATAAACTCTGTGTCACCTTCCAATATCCCTCCTTTGGCTGAAGTACAAGTAGCATCCTTTGGGCGGAATACACTACTCAATTACCTAAACCCTCTTGTATCGCAGTTAAGGAGTGATTTAATAGGTTAAAAGCCTTAGCCTAGTTGTTTTTGGAGAACTATATAATTTGAGGGTGACAATAGCCTAAGCTTGTGTAATATAACGTCATATAAACTCAATGTTGCCTTCCAAACACCCCTCCTTTTGCTGAAGTACAAGCAGCATCCTTTGGGCAGTGTACGCCATTCTATAGCCTACTACCCTATATTGTATGCTTAACGAATTTCTGGTATTTAATTAAAACATAGAGAGAGTTACGAGACACAATTAGCTATAAGGTGTTAACGATTTACCAGCGACATAGCCTATTTGCCACGCACAACACAACAATGTTTTGCTCGACGCTTTGTTATTATTTTGAGTCTGATCTGAACTATCAATCGTATTGGTATCGGTAACTATCGAAGTTCACACCGAATCTACTACCGGAATAATATTTTATAGTTAGCCGTTGATTATAGTTGCTAGTGATTGAATCATCGACATTGACTAGCCTATAGCATTTTGATTTTGCTCAATTTTGCTCTTGTATTCA